AAAAAAGACCACAGATTACATTTCTGATCAACCCGTTCACTGCTGAATCAGACTGTTTAAAAGCCCCTTTAGTGGAAGATGAAGCAGCATCTCAGCTTGAAATGATCGAACTTTCTGAGGATGACAGACTTAAAAGTGTTCTGAGGGAAGGAACCGTGGAGTTTTGGAAGATCGTGCCGGTTGAGAGATATCCCAATGTCAAACGGGCTGCACTCAAACTACTGTCAATGTTTGGGTCAACTTACATCTGTGAATCACTTTTTTCGACACTAAAACAAGTGAAATCAAAGCATCGCTCTGTTCTTACTGACACACATGTGAAAGAGTTACTACGAGTAGCCACAACTGAATACAAGCCAGACCTAAAAAAGATTGTGGAAACCAAGGACTGTCAGGTGTCCCACTGAGTCAAGTAAAAGGAGGTAGGCTGATTTAAATCCATGAAAAAGATTGCGTTATGTAATTAGGCGTATAAGTTATTGTGATATACTGTTGTTTGCATATCTGTTGTGTGGCTCTTTGCAGTGATACATTTTTTTTTTTGGCTCATTATGCCAAACAGGTTAGCCACCCCTGTTATAGTGTGTGATTGTGACTGATAAGGTGATGAGAGACAGGTGACTGCAATTGGTGAGTGCTGATGAGTCCAGGCAAGGGATTATGGGAAATGGAGTCCGGGGTGAAGTGGCAAGAGTCTGGAATGGAGTGCCCTCTAGCGAAGCTCACGGGCACTCCAGCTAGAGATCGTGACTATCTCAGCTTTCAAATTCTGTTAATTTTATCATGAAATGCTCTTTAAATGTGACTTGACAGATTGCTGTAGCGCCTCAGTTTAAGTGGTATGTGAATCAATCATCTCTATTTATTACTAATTATAGCAAGAAATAAACATTAATGAACATCAAAAGGTGTTGAAAAAAACAGTACAACTTACTGAAACCATGTCTAATGTAATTGCTCAATCAGTGTTTCAACCACAGAAAGACATCAATAAAACAGCTTTATTAACGTTACATTTACCTCAGGAAAGTCCATAAACACTGTTCAGCTAGTCAAAATAACTGTAGAAAGTAACATTTGGCTAAATATATGCAGTATATTACATATTAATTACATTTTACTAAATTCTCATTCTAATGATTCTCATTATTTAATGTATGTTTGAATACATTTTTCATCAGAAAGTTTTATGACAGCCACTGTTTAAATAATTATATTTAATCAAAGTAGAAGTAGAAGTAGAAACATAATTGTGTTATTTAAAAAATTAAAAACTGCCTTATGTGCAGTTTAAATGTATGTACAAATAAAATGTATTTTTGATTTCGGTTTTTGGCCAAGTGCATCCTTAATTTTCGGTTTTGGTCATCGTTTCATCACAGAATTGTCATTTCAGTGTATCACTATTTGAAAGGGTATCTCCCCAATCACAGCTTCTTCTTTTTTTTTCTGAGAGTGTAGCACTAATTGTTGCTATTTCTGTCCCTTTTCACAGTGTGCGTCATGTACACTCAGGGTGTGGAGACCAAGCAGTGGAGAGAGGTGAGTGCGCGCGCACACACACGCACGCACGCACGCACGCACACACACACACACACTATGACTGTTCTCAGCTTGCATTGCTATGGTTTCATCTCTGGTGTTGTTGTCCAATCAGGCGTGTCGTCTCTCCCTGCAGCAGCATGCAGTGCAACCACTGTCTGTTCTACTTCTTCTGTACGCCATCAAAACATATCCAGCATCTTATCACTAACAAGCAACACCCAGTTCAGCACCTGTACAACAGCTCTGTGTTTTGTCTCGACCTGCTGTACTGAGCAAGTGTTGTTTTTTTCAACGGTGTCTTTATAACGATGAGTCAGTGTCTGTAGTTTCCAATTTGAGGTTATGAATCAGAAGAGGATTGTCCTGCTGGGTGGTGCTGATTAAGCTTTGGTGTTTTTAACATGTTTGTTTTTCTCATAGTTTAGTGATTAGATCTGATACATGGTTGGTCTTTTTACCCTTTAAATGTTATTAGAAGTATGATACATATTATCTTTAATATAACTGAAGTTATAAATAAGTGATGCTGTTATTTTCCTTAGAACAGCTAAGTCTGTGCCACTATGTGATCTATCGCAAAGACAGGTTTTCTCCCAATGACAGACCAAGAATAGTATAATTTTATACTACAACTAAGGGCGTTAATTATTTAACATAGGCTTGTTGGAAAAATGTCCATTAATGTACCTATAAATACAATTCACTGCAGGTTCCAGCTGAAATGAACACTTAGTGGCAGCAAAACACCAACAACTTTTTTTTTGCTTTTCACACTAATAATTACTGGGACAGATTATATATAACATGTTATGACCTCAAAACACTATTACCATAGTGCATGAGTTGTAAACTAATACATATTAATGTTTGCATCAAATAACCAACTGTATATGTAAGAATTTTCTGCTGTAGTAAACTTGCTCGGTAGCTCACCTGGTACAGCACTGCACTTGCAATCCAAAGCATTTGTCTATGAGTCCCATGAAACAAGAGTCAGAATTAAAGAGCTTAGGTTTAGGGTAGAGCTTATTGTAGGTGCTACGTTATTATATGCACTAGAGCATTAACCATTTAGTGTAATTTAATTTCTGAACTGTTGTGATACTTTATTAAAAAGTTGCCACATTCACATTAATCTGTTTCAGATAAAACTGAACAGCCCTACTTGCTGTAGTTTGAAAGTGTCACAAAATGTAAAAAGAATATTATTTTGTAGAAATAGGCATGTTTTTCCCATGAGCCTAGGTTGGAATTGTTTAGGAGGGTCAGCTAAATGAAACTTCTGTCAGTAATTTTTGAAGAACAATGAGTTGGATATTGTATCACACAACCTGCCTTAGCAAAGTGAGCTAACCTCTATCTTAAAGACTATCTTAAACACAAATTAAAGTCTTTTTTGTTATTGTGATATGTAAATTAGCAGATTTCCATGCTTGAAAGTGCTCATGAATATCCGTATAATTTACTTTCTATATATTTTGTCTTTTCTATATATTTTTCTATATATTTTGAAGAATGGTCACACTGTTCTTAATGATAAAAGCATACAGATACTACAAGCTGTTAAGCTCATAATAATGAAAAAGCATCATAAAAGTAGCATAAAAGTGGTCCATATGATTCATACTCTCGATTTCAAATCTTCTGAAGTCATGTGATAATTTTTTTGTGAGAAACATTTAGGTGGTTAATAAAAAATATGTCATTACAAATATGTCATTAATGCCAAATGCCATCAGTCCTCACATGTCTTTTCACTAATGTGCCAGATGAGACTGTAAATGGATGAATTATTTTTGAGAGCTACAGTGAGAGGGTTAGATCTTCAATTTAAAAGTCCTGTGACGAAAATATAACACATATTACAAGTCATATGGACTACTTTTATATCAATTTGTCTTACACACAAGAACCACACAAGTGTGTGGAAATTGCATAATGCTTTTCTTTTAAGGCTAGAGACTTTGTAGTTTGACATTTTTACAGTCATAAATCAAAACTACTGTATGAGCTTCAGTGTAACTGCAACTGATAAAGAAATCACTAATGTTTTGCCATCTGAATTTCAAATCTGATATGAAATAAAGACAAACAAACACAAAACTTCACAAAATGGCAAATACAACCACAAAGTTCTTTGTATTAATATATATATATATATATATATATATTCTTATCCAGTGGCAGATGATTTTGCCCTGTCCCCTGACTGTTAGATATAAAACTGAGAGCTGAGGGCAGCCTCATACACCTGCATAATATTTGTAGGTTTTCGTGTAGGCGATGACAGCTCACCATAGCAATAAATCCTGGCATGCTTCATATCTCAGCTGTCTATTTTTATAAGCACTCTGCTCGTATTCAGTGTGAATAACACGAGAGACTGTCATTAAAGAAGTTAAAGCGATCTGAATGAAAGGTTATTATTTGGGATTTTTGGATTTTATTTAGAAAGCTTTCATTTATTGCTTATGGAATGTTATGGGAATGGCAGATCAATTCAGAGTCAGACACATGCAGGAATAACATGAAGGACATAATCTACATCCGTCTGCCCATGTTATTGTGTTATAGTTCACTCTTTGGGTATGATGGAGAGCCACTTTTGTCTTTTAACACTCAATAATACAAACACATTTGAACAACAGGGGATGATTAGTGCTGATTCTGCTCACTGTCACTGTATCTCTCACTATGTTACACAGTTAGACTCAACTAATTTCTGTGAGGGTCTTGACTGGTTTCCTGAACTGAAAAAGGGTTTTGGGCCTTTTTATTATAGAGGCTTCAATGCTTTTATGACATCCTGCCCACTATCCATGCAATCTCTGTGCAAGAGCTTGCTTTCTGACAGAACCGTCACCTCAGGTTGAATTTAGAGTTTGAAATGTTTGGATTTCACAACAGTAGTGTGCGTCAAACATTTTAGCTGTTGCGTCTATTGTACAATAAAAAAAAAAGAAGGAAAGGAAAGAAAAAAATCCAGTGCAAAGCATTTCTAAATTTTGACGTTAATTTAATAGAATTGCTAAGCATTTATTTACTGTATTTTTTTTTTATTGATTGATTGATTGATTGATTGACAGATTGATTTAAATAAATGTACCCAGATAAAGACCCAGATGTGACAGTTTTACATTTGGTATTAAGTGGTGACCCAGCAGTTTCCTAATTGTTTATTTGACAAAAGTAGCAAAATATACTTAAAATCAATCATAAAATGTTATTAATATTACCAAAAAATTGTACATGCAAACATTATGCATAATGAGTAACAAGACATACTGTAAATTAAATAAGAAAAATGACAGCGCTGACCAGTACGGGTGACTGCCTTTCACTGGCAGAATTACTGGGACAGATTATATAATAACATGTTATGACCTCAAAACACTATTACCATAGTGCATGAGTTATAAACTAATACATATTAATGTTTGCATCAAATAACCAACTGTATATGTAAGAATTTTCTGCTGTAGTAAACTTGCTCGGTAGCTCACCTGGTACAGCACTGCACTTGCAATCCAAAGCATTTGTCTATGAGTCCCATGAAACAAGAGTCAGAATTAAAGAGCTTAGGTTTAGGGTAGAGCTTATTGTAGGTGCTACGTTATTATATGCACTAGAGCATTAACCATTTAGTGTAATTTAATTTCTGAACTGTTGTGATACTTTATTAAAAAGTTGCCACATTCACATTAATCTGTTTCAGATAAAACTGAACAGCCCTACTTGCTGTAGTTTGAAAGTGTCACAAAATGTAAAAAGAATATTATTTTGTAGAAATAGGCATGTTTTTCCCATGAGCCTAGGTTGGAATTGTTTAGGAGGGTCAGCTAAATGAAACTTCTGTCAGTAATTTTTGAAGAACAATGAGTTGGATATTGTATCACACAACCTGCCTTAGCAAAGTGAGCTAACCTCTATCTTAAAGACTATCTTAAACACAAATTAAAGTCTTTTTTGTTATTGTGATATGTAAATTAGCAGATTTCCATGCTTGAAAGTGCTCATGAATATCCGTATAATTTACTTTCTATATATTTTGTCTTTTCTATATATTTTTCTATATATTTTGAAGAATGGTCACACTGTTCTTAATGATAAAAGCATACAGATACTACAAGCTGTTAAGCTCATAATAATGAAAAAGCATCATAAAAGTAGCATAAAAGTGGTCCATATGATTCATACTCTCGATTTCAAATCTTCTGAAGTCATGTGATAATTTTTTTGTGAGAAACATTTAGGTGGTTAATAAAAAATATGTCATTACAAATATGTCATTAATGCCAAATGCCATCAGTCCTCACATGTCTTTTCACTAATGTGCCAGATGAGACTGTAAATGGATGAATTATTTTTGAGAGCTACAGTGAGAGGGTTAGATCTTCAATTTAAAAGTCCTGTGACGAAAATATAACACATATTACAAGTCATATGGACTACTTTTATATCAATTTGTCTTACACACAAGAACCACACAAGTGTGTGGAAATTGCATAATGCTTTTCTTTTAAGGCTAGAGACTTTGTAGTTTGACATTTTTACAGTCATAAATCAAAACTACTGTATGAGCTTCAGTGTAACTGCAACTGATAAAGAAATCACTAATGTTTTGCCATCTGAATTTCAAATCTGATATGAAATAAAGACAAACAAACACAAAACTTCACAAAATGGCAAATACAACCACAAAGTTCTTTGTATTAATATATATA